CACTGGGATTCCAACCTGCACACAATGGGCTTTTGATCCGATGAGCTAGCCATTCACGCCATTCGAGTTGTTTCTCAACACTATATGATAGAGCGATTATCCGTCGCTGTGATTGAAAGTACCGGACTTTATGGGACAGGGACGTGCTCTGTCTCTCTCCTTCTCTCCGATGCATAACGTAGTGAGAGAATTCTCAGGTGCACATTCGAGGCGTGTAATGCTCGACAAAATGATTCCCTGTTCTCTGAATTCCAGTTTGTATTGTGTTTCTGACAGAATAGTTGTAAACCATATTTAACCATATTTAACATCTGGTGCCAGAGCTTTTTTCATCGCCTAACGGCCTAATCTGGTTCAACCCATCTGACGCAGCCACCCAGGATCGCTGGAATAGGCAAGCGATGCTAAAATTATATGACTACCGAATGGGATACGCGGGGTACATCGGTACACACAAGCCGCTTCAAGTGCTGCGCTTTTTTAAAAAGTAACTCAGTAGTTTACAAGAAAAGCTCCAGTGGATGCTTCAGTTGGTTGTAAAAACTGAACGGTACTGCTCGATCTATCCGAATTGTTAACAGTAGCACATTGCAGCCTGTGAGACTGCAAATTTGACCGCAACAGGGCTAAATTGCTTTGATAGCAGATAAATTAGTTTTCTGTCTAGCGCAATCCTATTACAGAAGCCTCAATTGGTATTTCTCAACTTAAGACATATGTCACGAAACGGGATCCCGCTGTCTATGAAGGGCCGAGTAGATACTGCAGCAGCTTGACCGGTTCTACTGTGTAGTGTCAAGACTTGACCGCTACGAAAGTAGGATAAAGATAAACTAAAGGTGTTCAAACATCCGTGTCCGCAATGCACTGCATCAGTCTGGTGAGGCGACTGGACAAGCAGTGGTGAAGTCACGCGCCAGAGCAGTTGCTTGATCTCCATTGGTTACAGCAGTCAGGGCGTGCTACGCGTGCTACTCGATAGATTTCCTCGGTGTGCGATGTTTACTAAGTTAGGTAATGGGTGGAAGAAAGTCAAGGGTTCAGAATAATGCTTGACATTAGACTATAAAAACACTGTCCGGCGGACTTCGACATATGGATTGTGTTCGGCCTCCTGGATGGGGATTTCGTGATTCGTCAAATTGGTGGTTTGTGATACTGAACGATATGACAGTTTCGTTGACAATGGCGCTCTTGAATCTACTCAATTTGTTCACATGCTTAGTGCAAATGTATTCTGTATCTCCGATCTTTCCACTTCTCTCCACTCCTTTATTCAAATGGGTACCGAAAAGACAGGAATAAAACCTGTCGCACAATACTGTAAGGTTGGTGTTTATGTAAGCAGAAAAATAAATCTGAATACTGCTTCCTTATTCCTTTGGGACCTTATATAGTTCGCCGTCTCGGGTCTCATGAAGTAGACCGAATTATTCTCAGGAAGTTGAACTCCCCCTGGTACGGTGGTTTACCTCTAACATGTAAGTCAACGCGTGAAATGCATTCATACCACCATGATTGATCTCTTAAGCTTCTTGGCATTCCACGGGATTTGATGAATGCTCGCCCCACGTAGATGCGTCAGAAATGCCGTTTTGTCATGAACTTGATAGTAGGTCATCATCGAATAAAGCAAGAAATCTCGGGAGACACTCTAGATTCAGAGGTGATGAGTTTTGCAGATTCTGGTAATCAGTAGGAAGTGGTTATTAACGAGCGATGGTAGCATTCTCCATGGGTCTGTATATACTCCGCATAACTGCTTGAGTCAATGCCTATCGGTGATAGTTCAGTAACAAACAGACATGCGCTCTCATGTAACACCAATCTTGACCAAATGCGTGCCTACTTTGGAGGGAATCATTCTCCACACTTGGACACGCGTATTGCGACATACGAAAAATTCCCATTTAGCTCCCAGTTAACTCAGAGTAAATGAAAAAGTCGAATTAAAAAACACCTACCGAATAACCTTCCGAAAGTTGGAGTGTATAACCAAATCATCTTATGCGAAAACCCTTGCCAGCTCTGATCCATAAACGAAATAGTGGGGTAAATTCTTTTGCCCGTGTTCATAAATCATTGACATTTTGAGATTCACATAACGCACACACTTTGATTGTGAGTCAGGCGCTCAAACAATGCATATTGCAGCACGATTGTTTGTTTATGCGTGCCGGTGAAAGTGGAGGGCCAAAATTCGATCTCGTTTGGGATCGAAGTCGTTGAATACTAGTCAACTGGACTATCTCGATTTCGACGAGATGAACTAAGGGTCAGTGGTCCAGACTGTGTCGTCCAATGTCCTGTTCTCCAAAATTTCCGACACAGTTGGCCTTCTGCTCGATCCAGGTTTCGTCATTCTGATCACAATACACTGGTTATAAAGGCAACATTAATAGGTAACACGTATGATCACGGGAACGGCTAGCCCCAGCTTGACATGTGAATCGACGAACAGCACATCGCTATCGGTATTTGCGTGGTAATCTCATTGGCGGGTCTAATTCTTTGACTAGTGAATGATAACTGAAATGTTCAGACGGGACTTTCAGACCAAACACCTGCAATAAATGTCTCGCATTGACAGTCAAAATTCGAATGTGAAAACCACCCGGACAATACCTTCACAAATGTAAAGGGAACTTGAAACTCGAAGTGAGGTCTCATGGTATAATGGGTAACTGCGTCTCTTCCTCTCTCTCCAATGGTGACGTGTTTTTCGATGTCTTTCTTCATCCCGTCTGATTCTAACAGATTTCTAACAGATCATTTTATATCTCAGTTGTCTACATTGATTGGATGCACCTTTTCTCGTACGCATACACACACCTGCGGGGTTTATACGTGCTCATTAACTCTATAAAAAACGCAGTTACACATACCACATCCGATCTGTATTCAGGATGTGCTCCAGGAAAGTGAAACGGTGGTTCACTCCATCAGGATGCATTTCTCTGTTTTGTTGAGTATCAAACTAACCAAACTTTTCCATCCGCTTGTTGCCATAGGGACAGATCGCATACACTTGTGCGGTGCCTGTTGCATCATTAAAATGCTTGATTGACAATTCAGTACGTTTATTATTGACTGGCGGACTTAGTTTCACTCGAATCACAAACGATACTTCATTCTCGAGAGAGTAACTAGATAATGGGTCCTGTCGTTTTTATCCCCACCTTTCATATTCCCTTCTATCGGAATAGACATACGGACTCACTTGTGTGTGATTTATCACGTTTTTTGTTTCCTAATCAATGAATATTTATTTCGTCTCCCGTAATGCTTCAGTCAGATTATTTCGTACGTCGTAAATTCCAATCCACTCGGTGGTAATCAAGAGCCACTGTCCTACCACATTAACTAAAGCGAAATCGTGCTGACAGTAGTGCTATCCTGTTTTTGAGAATCTGCAGTATCTCCTTGCATGCTCTTCTTCTTTTCAACCATACACTTAACCTCAACAGACAGGTTGGGCCTAAACAACACGTGATTTGTTGTCATAATCGTCCGGTCGCATTCGAGGCCGAGTCACTCGTGTTTTGGACGGTGCTCGCCTAGGGGTTTTAGACCCTTTCGTTTTCCCCGTCTGAACACCATTGATTGTCACCTGTTTCCTCCCTTTGTCTTGCTCTCATTCTCCACATACTGATTTGCATGAGCCTCGATTTGGCGGTGACTGATTCCACATTATTCCGTGCAATTCCGCGCATGCACTAATGCGTTCTCTTGGATTATTTATCATGTTTATCACCTTAAAGGCAATATTTTTTTCCTATGATAACACTTTAGGCGGAGTTTGATAATCGATCAAATAATTGATCGTATCTGCATCCAAGTGTCCCATTGCATTTATCTAACAACGACAATCATGAAGAATCGCTAGTGGGAGTCGCTTTGTTGGGAAATAATTAGACAGCGTGATCCCCGCTCATTGCCTTCTGTCACATTGCCTCGGATACAGATGGTACTGTTTGCGGATTTTCGAACAAATCATCAGCATCGTTGTGCAAGTAAGCGCGTTACGCGTGTTGCACAGCGCAGTATTTGAGAATTATCATTTGTTCGGCGTGGTTTTTACGGTGCTGTAGTGAGCACATTTTTGATCATTGTGAATCTGTATGAACAGATTTACACTCATAAACACCGGTAATTTTCATAGTTTTTTTCCTCATTCCAACATACGAGCTGGCCTAGTCGAATGTGGGTGTAACTTCTCTTCTCTGTTGAATTTGGAGGGTAGCGTGCTGAGTTAAATATATTTTCACACACGTCTGAAACCAGACTGTGTGCCGGGGAAATCATGGTGCAATAATCTTTATGAAAATGTTTTGCTTAGTTAACGGAAGTCGAAGAATAAGGTAATAATAATTGTAATAGAGCCTTCCGGTGATGAGGTTCGAACCTAATGCTCCTCGATTGATTGCGATAACAGCGATTCAGATCGCTCTCCTGAACTAGGGACAACTCGCCGGGTTTAGATAACGCGAGAGATCAATAATATACGACAGTCTATCTAACCAAACTATCTTTCCAAATTTATAGTTCACACTGGTAAAGATTTCCATTATGTCCTAGAACAGTCACCAAGGCTTTGCCTCTCACCTAGTATAATATTCGGGAAAATCATTTTCGTCTGCACCCAATGCAATCCCCCTCCCCCCGCTCTTAACCGACAAAATTCCGTGATGAATATGCCATTGCATGAAAGTCTTCAAATTGATTGATACCCCAAAGAAACCGCTATTCTTATACGATCGCAGAAAACGCTACTTATCATTGATTGCAAATCTTTGGCACGATACGTACATAATTGGGCTGTCGGGTGCGCAGATTCCTCAGTTTACTCTAATTGAATGCGCGCTTCCTAACCTGTTTCATGGAACTGATTTCTCTAATCTTTCTACATTCTCTTTGAGGGCTGATTTTGATGTAATTTCTGTTGTTTCTGTCTTCTTGTTTTCTTGGATTTAATCCATCTGCATGCAACTACAAAACAGGATCAGGTTCCGGCACCAATCGAGCCCCTCCCCCACGTGTTGATATCCCATCAAGCGGTCGTCATACTAGTACGAAGTCACGTGGAGGTCCGTCGGCTACGGCCTCCTCGCCCAGTGCTCGAGATGCACCGTTGCACACACCACATCAGCGCAGTGGAAGCAAAAGTCCCCGGTTAAGCTCATCCACAAACGCGTTGGATCGTCAATCAGGCAGCGGTGTAGCAAGGTCAGTTATCCATGTATGTGTGTGTGTATCGCAATCATTCCCGTAGCGTTCACTTCGTTTCCGATTGCCTCGCCCCAGACCTCTGAAATGGTGAAATGCTAGTCACTTCAAATCTATGTGATATCCTCAAAGTGACCCTAGAGTACAATGGTGTAAATGACTGATTTCAAAGCTTCGGTCGCCTAGTCTGCATGTGGTCCATCCCTTACGCCATCAGCCTGTTTTACCGAGATTTTATTTTATTTGTGCCCGTCGAAAATGTTCTAACCCCGCTCACGTTCCATTTTAAGTGCTTCTCAGGTTTGGACTGTATCCGATCTGGCTGCATGTCTGGAGGTTAGGTATTATATAGAAAATAAGCTCTCAGGTCTGGCTTCATTACGTTTTGTATTAAAACCGAGATAACTCGTCTAGTCAGAAGTTCACTGGTTGGATTGGATAGTTTGAAAAGGTCTGCTCAGGAAAAATGTTTTTTGATGAGCATACGCATTACGATCGATATGTGATGTATTCCCAGGTTATCGGTCTGTGTTTTGTCCATTCGTACGCTTAAAATATTCCTTTATGTATTGAGAGCAACTCACTGTTTAGTCGACGTACACCCGAACCTCCAGAGGGGAGTAAAACCCAATGGGGATCATCAGTTGTCGAGGTATCACGAACTGCACGGCGAAATTAGACGGTGAATGTTTCCTGTCACTCGGGAGAGTTTCTAGATGTTTTTATCACCGGTTGATCAGACGTACCGAAGGACAGCACGGAACCGATAACAGTCGTGTTCTTTTTTCTCATCTCTTTGCAGACGAGACTGGTCTGAGGGTTGTACGTTCACATTTAAACGCTTTTTACGGTATCGGTTCACTTTATTCCCTCTTGTTCCATCTTACACATTCTTTTTCACCCCGAAATTCTGTGCGCATCGTCACCATGGTAACGTTCAGTGGAGTTCGTTTCACTGCATTCTGCTTTGCGGTAATATCGACGACAACCGAGTGGAAAACGTCGAAGTCGGGATTTCACGAGAAAACAATCACACATTTTCGGATGCATGACACGTGTATGGCATCTTTATGGTGCCATCTTGTTCGTCGATCTACTTTGTAATAAATGAATAACCGAAACGCTTCAGTGCTGT